GGTGGTAGGGACACGTGTGAAGTGAGATCAGCTTTTTGTGAATTGGTACTTTTGGCTAAAGACAACAGTGTTTGGTGGTTGGCAAAAACGTCACTGGTACCACCTGTCACGCAACGGAAGAGCGTCAAAACCCGTGCATCGCGGCGGATGGGTGCTTCCATCGGTCGCTGGCCACCGGGCGGTCACTGAGAGGTCATCGGAAGCGGTTAGTTTCCGCGGACCATCGGTCAGTCCCGTGTCACGGCCACGCTGGGCTAGTCGCTCCGTGCCGCCGGCGCTCCGACAAAAACGTTCATCTGGGGATCGGCGACAACAAGGCTCGGCGGTAGCTGGTGGATAAACGGTGGAGCAGCCAACAGCGGGCTTACATAAAGCGGACCGACGGTAAAACACGCGGCAGTGGATCAAGAGAGGATCGATGGCGCGGCAACCAACAGTGGGTCGGTAGAGGACTGACGGCGGACCAGCCGACAATAAACTCAGTTGTCGGACGGACGGTGAACCAGTCATCGGCGCGTGGAAGCCAACAGCGCACGGGAGAAGAGCAGACCACTGATCAGAGGAAGAGCAGAACATCGGTGGACCCACCAACTCCTGACCAGCGACAGATCAGCCGAGACGATCGCCATAACGGCTCTGCGGCACCACCCGATGGTGCCGGCGCCAGTTCAATTAGTTTCGATGGCCAATGCTCGGCCAAATGGAACCCGGCGAGAAGCCACTTAAACGCACCGTCGCGCGCCAGGGGGAAGGGGGGGGGGCGCATACATGGGCAAGGGTACGCGGGTAAGGGGGGGGGTCTTTTTTAGATAGAGAGGTCTGAGTGCCTGGCTCTCAAAGAGTAGCCCTGCGACGGTGAGATAAGCTAGGTCAACAAACCGTCGACCAGCATTCTGAGAATTTGGACCAAGAGCGATGTTGCTCCCAAGTTTGCGTGCGAAAATCAGCCTTTTGATGAATCTTCTCTGAAAGTTGAAATTAAAACTCTGGAAGCATCATTTGTAGAAGGTTTCCAATCAAGCCGGACAGTGAAATGAAATTATACTGCGGTGGTGAGAGCCACGCGCCACCTCTGATCCCGGGAACCCTGTCGTAAGCAGCTGCCCTATTTCTCGGTCGTGCTGTGATCGCCGATCAGCGTCTGTCCGATCGTGAGCGGCGCACGGCCCGTCTCGTGGCGTCACGGGGCCCCGGGCGCGGCCACGATCGTGTGACCTCACCGCTCGGAGAAAGGAAAGGTCAGAGGGCAGGGCGCAGACGGCTCTGACTGCACGACCCGCTCTCGACCGACCGGTCTCCGCTCTCCGGCGCTGCTCGACTCTGGACGCCCATCGGCCGTCCGAGCCGAGCGTCGGTCGCAGTCGAACAGACGCCAGCTCTCAGCAGTTTCCGACTATCTGACTGGGAAGGGGAACAGCTGGGTTTGGCAGGCCGCGGCCTGGGGACCGGGACGGAGGCACAGTTGGGCCCTGACGAATGGCCGGGAGGGCAAGCCGTTTGGCCGCCGCGCCCCCGCCGCCGCCAGCAGCCCCGCCTGTGGTCGACACATGGTGTGCCCAATGTGCCGCAGAGCAGATGATTTATTACGTGTGGGAGATGGGCCCTGTTTAGTCTCTCCGTATCCCAGCACGCAGAATGCAAGCACTGCGCTGCACTCAGAGCGCTTAGCGCACAAAGTGGCGGAGCTGTGGAAATACAGACCTCGTTAGTAAAATAACTTTTCACATTACTCATACGGGCGCTAATAAAGCGCAAGATCGATCTGACCTGCCGTCCGGTGGCGGGTAATGCATTCTGGCCCGTATTATCGGTACTGCTTCGGACGTTTCCCAGCAAAGTGCCGAGCACGCCGCCGATATAAGTACCAGCCGGCATTTATCTGACGTCTTACAACAGGGTTTCCCGGATGAAGTGCACGTCTTTTCTCTTACAAATAAAACCAGATGAGTTGTGAGCCCACTGTAATGCATAACACGGAAATTTCTGAGTATGAGCGGCCGGCCGGCCGGTATACAAGAGTTTTAGTTGACAGCTGAATCAACGACGAGCAATCATAAAACATACAAATTTATACAGTAACCCTATTTTTCTCGGGCCGCGCGATAGCAGACGGCACTTTTCAGACGTGCTGAGCACTAGGAGACAAATGGTATCACTGGTATCACTGAGAAAACAAGCAAAACCGAAGTTCTATAATGTAGAATGAAGAGTGTAGGAGTTTGTGCTTCATTCAGCTCGACCTTTTGGCGTACGTCTCCTCCTGTTGGACCGGGCGGGTCTCAGCGAGTACCATAAATTGGCCGTCTCGGCCGGGGTCATCGGTGCGTCAAAGGTCGCGCACCTGCGCCGACACGCTATAATTCCAACCCATTCCTCCACCTCGACTGCCAGCAAATTCAAATAGATGGCGCTGCCAAGAATGGACCGCATAATTTGTACAATTATCCACAATTTGGATCACACTAATGTCCGCTCGCAGGACCCGATAAATGTCCTCGAGGAATTGGTGAATAGCGCGGGTCAGATGGCACAATTGACCTGGGATTGAGTCCCAGAATGTCCTTCACCCGTGGGTACTGTCATAACAGTGACACTGGAGAAAGTCAGTACGGAATCCATAGGGGGCGAATTTATCGTGGGAACGCGCAGTGCTGTTGTCGACTATTGCAGCAGATATGACATCTTTTCTTCCGATGCATTTTTTTTATAACCGGAAATGGCTTATGATTGTTAACTAAGTCTGTTATCTAAAATTTCATATCCATTTAATTCATCATGATTTTAATTAAAAGGTACAAAACGTCCTCGTCCTATTTCAAAATACAAAAATCGCTAAATATTTGCGCATTGCCGTGTTCCATCGACATCATTCCCATAAGTTAGTTTTAAAATCGTATCCATCCGGACCCTCCTGAACCACCTCGGCCCAGCACCGGCGGAGCCTGTGTCGTCCCCGATGATCCTCCGACCGTCCGTCCCGACTGCCGCCCGTCGGTGGCGGCGCGTCGGCCTGCGTCTCGTCACCGACGCGTCTTTTGTGACGGGATTCCGCCGGCGCGGCGCGGCCAGACTTCCGCCGAGGCCCGGTCCAAGTGGGTCGGCACTCGGCAGAGCGGTCGCGCAGACCACGCTCCGTCGCCGTCGTTCGTCGCCGCCGATGACGGTGGAAGCGACGACGACGGCGACACGGATGGCGCCGGAAGTGGATGCCTTCCGGTCCGGGAGAGGCGCGCCGGCGTCCCGGACACGGGGCGGGTCAGGGCCGGCCCGGACTGACGGCAGGGTCGGGTCAGGAGCGACTCAGAGAGACGTGGGTCGGAGCAGGAGCGACTCGGAGAGACACGGGTCGGAGCCGGAGCGACCCAGAGAGACATGGGTCGGAGCAGGACCGACCCGGAGAGACATTGGTCGGAGCAGGAGCGACTCGGAGAGACATAGAGTGAGGAAGACAGAACAGACTGACCCGCGGTTTAGGCAGGTGGGCCGGAGTCGGACACTCGTAGGTCGGGGCAGACGAGACGAGAGCGTTTGCGATCATCGACCAGAGAGCCAATGGATTAAACTAAGGATCAAGTCTGCGGGGATAAATCATTAACTATTTAGCTGAGGCGGAACTTTACCAAATGCCTTGAGATATTTTCATTGAATAAATATGTGTGGTTGAGGGGATGCATGTAAAGGAATGTCACATAAAATATGCCAGATAGAAGGCATGAAAACGGGTAAATTGGTCCCTATCTCTATTGTCCGTTAATCGTGCTGGTCCCTATCCCTATTGTCCGTTAATTGTGCATGCATATCTCTCACCATATTCGTTGTTTCTGAGTGTATTACAAGTATTATATTACCTGTAGGTAACCGTAAGTAAACGCGAGGAACAACATTGCACTATAAATAGCCGCGCTCTTTTCAAATAACCCACATTCTCCCTACTAAAAAGTTTGCGGCACCTGAAGTTTAACAGTTTGTTATGTAAATCGTCGCAGTATTTTATGCAATAGTTTGCGTATCTAGCAACACTTCCAAAGTGATACAGACCGTTTCAGCAAATTTGCATCTCATTTAAATGGATCAGCTATAAAACCAGATAATGGCGCTGTTAGCTTGATCGCTGGATCTGCCCAACTTGTTCATTTGAATTCATTGTTGAGACTCGAAATATTTCAACATCTTTGCCGCTCGTGTCACATAGGCCAACAAGAAAACGTGCATACTGCATAATGCTGACACTTTCAACGATGCATACGGGCATTGCAGTTCAAGTTGTCCAAAAAGTAAATAATGTTTCATTTTTGCCGTGGTGCAGGGGAGAGGGACGTAGTTTAGACTAAGCACCTCTTGCTGACGTTATAAATATAATTCCAAACGAACCATTTTCGTTTTGATAACCTATTTTATCGTGTGTAACCGTATATTATACCTAAATTCCTTGGACAATCCCTTTTTAGTCTTAAAACAGCTTTTTATAGAACACCTTCAACGCTGAACAAAATATCCAAAGCCAAGGGATATTCTCGTGATTTATTGAGGCTGAATGATAATAAAGCGTGGCGGCTAGAGATCGAAGCTAGTTCAAATTCTCGTGAATTTTAGTACTCTACGAACATTCAGAATCCGCATAATAAAAGGGACATAAATTCGAGTTAATTAAGTCGATGAATGGCCAAAGCCCTTGCAGTATTCTGCGAGTCTCATGCGAGAAATGGCGCCGTTGCCATCGTAAATCGCTAGCCAGTGACAATCTCATAGCGGTTCTAAAATGGACGTCGTTCGGCCACATCCGCCACTGATCCGCGACATGTGTCGCCACCCAGTTTTGGAGCTTAGACGTAAAACAGCACTTCCTTCTGTAATTATAATTGTACATCAACTTCGAGCTAATTTTTGTGTTGATTTGTGCAGTATTGTTCATTTGCTGTTATGTTCCTGCGAAGTGCTCAACGTCCTCATTTCGTTTCCCCATAGATGCAAACCGTTCATCCAGCTTGTGACGAACTTACCTGAGCAGACGCTCCAGCAGAGGTGCAAGGTGGCTAACACCACCGCCCACCTCATTTTACGGTTGTAGACTGTATACGTGGGAGGGCTGGAACAGTCACAGTAGGACAATGTCCTCCGCGCGCATCACCCTCTGAACGTCCAACAGTCCACCGGCGCACGAGTCTCTGGTCGGGATCAGGTCACCTCTGACCGCAGACCATGCCGCTCGGTTTGGCAGCGCGGCGGAACAGGCAGTCTCGGGACCGAAGCTCAGTCGGTCGCACCTCGCACCGACCTCGTCCGCGCCGAACTGCCTCCTCCCAGTGGCTGCCAGTACCGTGCGACCGACAGCGCCCCTGGCGGCTGGCAGGGTAACTAGGGAGACCCGCACGCCTGGCTGGGCGGTAACCGCGGCGGGATAACTCCCCGCATCTGCACGGTGGACCGTGTTTGGGCGGCGAACAAGCCGCTCTGATGAGTCCAATCAATCAACGGAACGGGTGAATGAAACGAAATAGGCTCAAGGTCGAGCTAATCTCGGCTTTTTATTTACTGCTGAAGGCTACTCGTAATAAAGAGCGTGCCCAAGAGGGCTTCACATCTTGCACACTTTATCTGTCGCATTGCATTCTTCCCTTACATCGCCGTTCGGGTAAAAGAAAAAGAATACTCACAAATACGGCTACTAAAAATCGTATTGTTGAGCTCCAGCAAACGGTAAAAAAATAAAAGAATACGTCAAAGTCTTAATTATTTAATAGTTTCACAGTATGGCTGGCAAACAGCCCTATCTAAGACAGGTTGCAATCCAGCGATGACTCATCGCATGCATGCGTTTAAAGCTGAAGGCTTTTTAACGCCGGTCATCTTTGTTCCTTCTGAGCAATTCTACACCCTACTACCTGGAATGGGTTTATTCTCAGCTGGGGTCATATAGATGCTGCACTTTTTAGCTTTTGTCCTATTTTTTAGAATAAGTACACTTGTTTATTAATAATTCAAAATAAAACTTACATAACGCTAAATGTGTAAAGGAAATGAAACGTGTATAGCAATGCCAGGTTCTACGTTACTTTTGCCTCTCTCGAAACTCCTCATTTCCGCCACCCTCAATGACAAGTCTTCCAAAAGATCTTTCGATTAGTTCTTCACGGCCATCTCCGGACGCCATTTGCTCACTGACGCCTCTGTCACCGGTGTATAGGTTTGATCGCCGGCCTGGCCACTTACTGACCATTCCATTCCGCCCCGTGGCGACACCGGGGCAGGTTCTCAGCGGGCGACTCGGCCACTGACGCGCCCCAGCGCACCGGACACCCATTCTATCTGAGACAGAACGGACCGGCCGCCCACACCTAGTCGTAGCAGTGGAGAGGACGATTGGAAATTGTTTGAGGGGCAGTGGAGGGCTACTGGCTACGAATTATTACTGACTGGCTACTCCCTGCCGCTTGAAGATTGGTAGTCTAGACATTGACATGCTGAACCGTCTGCATCATCAGCAAAAGTTATAATTTACAATTTATATACCCCTTCAACTTGCTCCCAAATACAAGTCATTATATAGTGGTTTCGCGTACCTATATAACAGTAACTATTTGCAGCAAAGAAATGCGAGGTCTATTCCTCTCTGACCAAAGCAGCTGGAATATAGGTAATTTCTCTTTTTATGTTGCTTTCTTTTCTTTCATCGCAGCCAATCGACCCTCACAATACTTTGATCTACGTTATCGACATGGCAGCATGCTCTCCGATCAGTTTTTTCCTAATTCGCTAGTTTCGAATCACCCGTCGAGGCCAGTTGAAGGCGACGGGGGGGGGGGGGGCGTTTGATCTGTTCAGAGCGAGCCAATGACGGTGGCCGTTCGGTCGAACCACGAACACGTGCTACTGTAACTTGTTAATGGTATTATGGGGGGATGGGAGGTCGTCGCACGCAGAAGCTGCAATCGCCTCTGAATTTCTTAGAAGGAAGGTCCCTGCAGTCTATACTCTCACTGTCCTGTAGCGGAAGTTATGTAAACACGTTCTTGACAGTTGACATACGAGTATAATACCTTTTAGTATGTACCTATTAGAAGAAAGAGGGTTTTTGCTTCAGCAATGGTTAAGTACGGGATACAAAACAATGGCTATCTCCTTTCAGAAAAGTAGCTGTTTTACAATTTTGAACTATATTTATTTTGCACTATAGGTCATCAAGCCAAGATGCATCAATTCGACACGCCGAGGTCAGTACATATCCTCTTGTTTTTTTATGATCGGCTATACTAAAAAACGGAGCAGTTCTGAATTGGGGGGGGGGGGCAACTCTGATGCATGTGAAGTGTGTATCGCAGGTCCAAAAGTAACTGCGACTTATGACTGCACGGTGAATGATGGATCATGATGCAAGGGGCGCTATAGTTAATGAAAAGTGGCGCACCTGGGCTGTCATTATCTGCAATTAGTTTTCTGATTTTAGCGTAGCAGATTATTGAAGAAAAGTAATTGAGTCTGCCGTCGGAAAAAAATTGCTGCTCATATATTTGTGCAGTAAATAGATGTCCTTATTTAGATGATGTGTACCTAGCCATGGAATGGTAGTAGGCGTTTGTTCCATTTGTTCCTATAAAAAATATGGGTCACGGCTACTCTAATATTCTTAAATGCATGCATATTGCATCACCATTTTCTTTGCTTACGCTCCTGCAGTAGCGTTGGGGCTTCTCTACCGTCGGGGACGCAGCTCCACTAAAAGCCAATATGCAGCAGGCGGCGGACGCGGACGGCAGCTCCGGCCCGTGCCGTCGCGGCCCCGAGAGCTTTTATCTCGCCTTTGTAGCGGTCATTACAGCGCAAAGTGGCGGAGCCGTGGCCAACAGACGCTCCGGAAGAAGGAGATAAGAAGCGCACGGCTGCCGGCGCTCGGCAAAGTCCGGGACACGGTGAGGAGAGCGGGATATTCCCCGGTTTGGGTGTTAGGCTACCTGACCGACTGGCGGCGGCGGGACGGATTGGGGATCAGGGTGGCGCGGATGGGGATACGTGCGGCGCGTGCAGCGGCGCCCGTTGGCAGCGGCGCGCTTGTCCCCCCCCCCCCCATCCATCGGTACTGATGCGATGGAAAAGAGAAGCGGGGCTGCGCTAGATCTGTGATGTTTTGGTGAGAGCTGCAATGACAGTTTTAACTTTTGCAATGACACTTTTAAGTTCTGCGTAGCCTGCGCTCAGTCTTTGCCATGCCTATGCTATGTTCATCTATATTTCGCTCGCTGTTCTCAATCCCTGTTCTGCTGTGCTCAGCTCCTTGCGGAGTTTGTGTCCCCCATTCTGCGATTCTCACCGTTCTGCTGGCTGTGGGACGTTAGAACCGCAGTGGGGTGGCTAGCACATATCGCTGTGTGTGTGTGGACCAAGTGTCGGTCTTTAGCGCGTCGATCCGAAACGCTGTAAACAGCGCCTATATCTGAACGGTGTGTTGACATCGCGTCGGCCCGTGGCCACGGGCCGATGTGGCCTATTTTAACGCACCACGCGTGGTGCGTTAAATAGAGCCGCTGAATTAAATGAGCAAGGTCGAGCCGCCTAAATATGAAAAGCGTGAATAAGTTCCGCGAGTCTGACGACTTTCGATTTTCCGCGCATGTGGAATTACTTTTGACGCAATAAGAAGAAAAAATGAGCGGTGAGAGGTAGAAAATGCTTGAACCACTTTCAATAACTAAATATGTGAGTAGCAATCTATTTTGTATCGCTAGCAATGGTCTTCATGCATTAACCCTATTAGTTGCAGGCTGCTGGTTGAATAAGAGCCCTCTTTTTGTCAAAGCCAGATCTGCATACTAACCACCAGGCCAACGACCTCAAACGACCCTTCTCTTCTGCTCAGGTACCTCACGGGAATTTACATTTCACGGTCGCTCCTGCCTAAGCACCGTGTAAGCCGACCTGTGGTGCTCAGCTCGCGCCGGCCCATTTCACCGATGGGCCGCGCTGGCTGCCGGCCTCTGCCCCGCTCCGCTCTCCGCTCTAAGGATCGTTTACACGCGCCAGCCTGGAACGCCGCCAAACGGCCGCGGACTGCGATGGACGGCAGTCTCTAATGACCACGGTTCCGCGCGCTAATATCGGGCGGTTTTTATCGTTATCGGAAATATTCTGCCGGCGTCCGCAGCGCAGACGCAGTCCATCGGCCGTCGATGGCCGGCGGACGCGGCTGATGACAAACGTCAGACGCTGACTGACGCGGCTGATGACAGGCGTCAGATGCTGACAGACGCGGCTGATGACAGACGTCGGATGCTGACAGACGCGGCTGATGACAGGCGTCAGATGCTGACAGACGCAGCTGATGACAGACGTCAGATGCTGACAGACGCGGCTGACAGACCGTTCAGATGCTAACAGAGGCGGCTGACAGACGTCAGATGCTGACTGATGGGCTAACTGACCGTCAGATGCTGACAGATGCTGACAGGCGCGGCTGATGTCGTCACAACCGATGACGTCACAACCGATGGACGCGGCTGATGGCGGATATAAGACGGCATCAGGTGGCTGCAAGCTTAGATGCACAGACTAACCAACAGATAGGACACTACGATTTACTGGACTGACGATCACGGACAGCAAGCAGTGCTCAGCGACACCAAAAGGATGCCACGAACTTCTCACTCCTCGCTGATGTGGCTTATAACGCTTGCATTGTAGTCTCAGAATATAGACTGTCCCGCCATACACTCCTGCATTGCGGTACAATTCAGAACACCAAACATTCTCCGTGTTTTGGACAACTTTCCTTGCCCTGTGTCCGTCCCTTTTTCAATAAAACCAAGAGACAAACCTTCGAACCGTCTAGAAATGTCATTAGGGATATTAAAATATGGTTGGTGAATTTCCCGTATAATTTTGCATAGTGACCATGCATTCAGTTATGTTATCAACGGAAAATACGTTTTACCCTCATGGTGACCATTTCTTTTAAGGGCTCTGACATTTAAAGCTCAACAATTCCTTTCTAATTTGATTCCTGAAACTTTTCAACAAGACTTTATTGCCCGGAGCTGGCATTTTGTTCATTCTTTGACATATACAACATCCTTGTGCACACTAATCAACAAGGCTGGCTGGGAGGCTCTCAGCGCCGTTTTGTGCAACTCCTGTTTGCCCAAGGACAACCGGAGGCCATTAGCCGAGCCCGACACCAACACGGCAAACACGGCTCGGACTAATCACAGCCGGCGTATGCGGAGACGAGCAAAAACAGGCGTGACATCGAGACCGGGCGCCGGATCCCAGGCCCGCCGCTCCCTCGGCAGTGGTACTTATCTTTCCT